ATATCTGGTATTCAATGTTATCACTGTAAGAAGGAAAGTCACACAAGAAAGGTGTGCCCTAAACGCCTGAAAGATCATGGAGGTAATGGCAACGCATCCATTGTTCAAGATAACTTCGACTCATCTGATGTTCTTGTGGTTTCAAGTGGCGACTCGAGGAAAGAGTGGATTATGGATTCAGGTTGCACTTGGCACATGACTCCAATAAAAGAATTGTTTTAGGAGCTATGTGATCAAGATGGTGGATCTGTACTACTGGGAAATAACAAATCTTGCAAAATTACAGGTATTGGATTTGTGAGATTCAAGCTCCATGATGAGTCAATAAGGTTATTGACTGAAGTCAGGTATGCACCTGACTTAAAGAGAAATTTGATTTCTCTTGGTGAATTCGACAGAAAGGGATATGTTTTTCAAGGAGAGAAAAGTATCCTAAGAGTTATGAAGGGGTCGAAGGAAGTCTTGAGAGGCGTGAAGAAACAAGGCTTGTATACCCTTGAGGTTGAGGTTGTAAGTGGTTCGACAAATATTGCATCCACGAAACCTGTCTCGAAGACAGAATTATGGCACATGAGATTGGGTCATATCAGCGAAAGAGGCCTGGTCGAATTGGGGAAGCAGAACCTGCTAGGAGGTGACAAAGTCGAAAAGTTGGAGTTTTGTGAATCTTGTGTATTTGGTATATCCTGTAGGGAAAAGTTTAACAAAGGCAAGCAAAGAACACATGGATCCCTGGATTACATTCATGCTGATCTTTGGGGGCCTGCAAGGAATCCTTCAATCTCAGGTGCAAGGTATTTTCTATCCATCATTGATGACTATTCCAGAAAGCTATGGGTATTCATTCAGAAGACAAATGATGAAACTTTTGAGAATTTCAAAAGTTGGAAGATTCTGGTCGAAACTCAAACTGGAAAAAAGGTCAAGAGGTTGAGAACCGACAATGGCCTTGAATTTTGTAACGAAGCGTCCGATAGTTACTGTGTTGAGTCTGGGATTGCAAGGCATAAGACTGTAGCAGGTACTCCTTAACAAAATGGCTTAGCTGAGAGATTCAATCGAACAATCCTTGAAAGGGTTAGATGCATCTTGGTTAGTGTTGGATTGAAGAAGGTCTTTTGGGAGGAGGCTGTTTTGACAACAGCTTACTTGATAAATAAATGTCCCTCGACTGCCTTGGGAATGAAAACACCTGAAGAAGTTTGGTCGGGACATCCACCCAATCTCGACAAACTGAGAGTATTTGGCTGCATGGCCTATGCTCATATTAGGGAAGACAATGTCGAACCTAGAGCTCTGAAATGCATGTTCATGGGATACCCTAAAGGAGTCAAAGCTTATAGGCTATGGTGCCTAGAGCCAGGTCACAGGAGGTGTATCACCAGTCAAGATGTAGTTTTCAATGAAGTAGAGATGACTTTGAAGAAAACTGATGATGCTGACGAAGAGCTGGAACAGGGAGAAATTCTTGTCGAGGTGAAGCATGTTGATACTAAATTACATACCCCAGGTGAAGTTGAAGAAGATGCATAAGATGTTATCGAAGATAAGGAGACTGATAATGACTACCTGCTAACAAAAGACAGGTCAATGAGAGTCATCAAGCCACCTCAGAGACTTGGGTATGCAGATCTTATAGCTTATGCCTTAATCTCTGTAAGTGAGGTTCTAGACGAAGAACCTAGGGACTATAAGGAAGTTATGAGGAGTCAAAAGAAGATTGAATGGTTGAAGGCCATGGATGATGAGATGAAATCTCTTCATGATAACAACATCTGAGAACTGATCAAGAAACCTACTGGAGCCAGATTAGTCAATTGTAAATGGATTTTTAAAGTTAAGGAAGGAATCGAAGGAGTGGCGTCAAAGAGATATAAGGCAAGATTGGTTGCTAGGGGGTTCACTCAGAAAGAAGGTGTCGACTTCAATGATGTGTTCTCTTCTGTTATGAAGCACATATCCATTTGAATGTTGCTTGCCACAGTGGCACAGTTCTACCTTGAACTAGAACAGATGGATGTGAAGACTACATTCTTGTATGGTGATATAGATGAAACAATCCTAATGAGGCAACCTGAAGGGTATGTCGAAAAAGGGAAGGAAGAGTATGTGTGCAATCTGAATAAATCCTTATATGGTCTGAAGAAATCTCCTCGACAGTGGAATATAAGATTCGATAAGTTCATGACACGCATAAATTTCATCAGAAGTCAGTTCGACCACTGTGTTTACTTCAGATTTCGACCGGGTAATTCATTTGTTATTTTGTTGCTCTATATGGATGATATTCTAATAGCAAGAAATAATGTCGAAGAGGTAATGAGGGTGAAGGCTGAACTCAAGAAGGAGTTCGACATGAATGATATGCGAGTTGCGTCCAAGATTCTTGGGATTGACATCTGAAGAGATAGAAAGCAATCGAGATTGTGCTTATCTCAAGAGGCATACCTACAGAAGGTTCTCGAAAAGTTTGGTATGTCGAATTCAAAGTCTGTTGTGACTCCAACAAACCATCAATTCAAGCTGAGTATAGATTAATGTCCCAACATTGATGTTGAAAGAACTTATATGAATAACATTCCATATGCTAATGTAGTGGGTTCTTTGATGTATGATATGGTCTGTACTAGACCCGACATAGCATATGCAGTAAGTCTTGTAAGAAGGTACATGATGAATCCTGAAAAGGCTCACTGGCAAGCATTGAAGTGGATTCTAAGGTACATAAATGGGCCTCTGAATAGAGTCATAATTTATGGTGGAACCTTGGGTGAAGATAGTAAAGCAGTAATTGAAGGATATGTCGACTCTGATTATGCAGGTTGTATGGATTCTAGAAAATCTATTTCTGGATACGTGTTCACTATGTTTGGGACAAAAATTAGTTGGAAATCAACACTTCAGAAGGTCGTTGCCTTATCAACTACTGAAGCAGAAGATATTTCCCTAACTGAAGCTGTAAAGGAAGCATTGTGGCTTGAAGGTTTTGCAAAGGAGATGAAACTTCAAGGTCGAGTTATCACTGTTAAATGTGATAGTCAAAGTGCAATACACATGTCGAAGAATTCAACCTATCATGAGGGAACCAAGCGCATTGATGTGAGGCTGTATTTCGTCAGATAGGTAATCGAGCGTGGAGAAGTCTAAGTGCTAAAGGTTTCGACAGATTATAATGCTGCTGATATGATCACCAAGATGTTGCCCAGTTGCAAGTTTTTCCACTGTATGCAGTTGATAAAGCTGCATGAAGAAAGATAGTTCCTTGATGTTATAGAGTTTTTTCCAAGGTGGAGATTTGTGAGATGTTGGATTGAACTCTAGTATGGTCGAAGGATAGCTTCTGGTTCGACAGGAATTAAGCATGAGGTCGAAGTATGTTCGCATGCTACTGTCGGAGTAATGCGTGTTGTAGTCGAAGTTATTTCTAACATGCATTAGTCAATATTGCTAGGGTTGTTAGCATGTTGAATTGGACCTTGCTTGTAAGCCCAATTGTTTAAGTTAACTTGTACCCTAAGTTAGCTTGTAATGGGTAATTGTTAAAAAGCCCATTAGGTTAGTGTGCTATTTTTCTTATAAATAGGATTCTAGTTTCTCAATCTTGACATAAGAAAAAATAGGAAGATAAAATCCTAATAGCAAGAGAGAGAGAGGTTATTTTTTTATTCTTGTATACTTGTAATCTTGTTCTAAGAGAAATAAAAGAATAACTATTTATAACCAATCCTTGTTGTTCCTTGTTGTTTTACCTTGTTTTCTTTGTTAACCCTAACCCTTGTGTGTTTTTTAATCATAAAGAAATTGTTTATACCTTGTTTAAAGGTATCTGATTCACAACAATTTTAATGTGTTATAAACCTTTACTCGTTGAGATTGAAAACTCCCATATGTAAGGGTTTCTTTTGGCAAGACTGGTATCCTTGTGATTGAGTACTTCTTAATACTAGGAGGTTGTGAGATTGTAAATCTGTATTTTGTAAAACATTATTCTTACTTATATGTTATAAAACGTTCGTCAATTCTAATTGAAGACTCTGTGATGCTAGGAGGCTACTTTAGATATAAAAAAATGTATTTTTGTGATAGAAGACTCCCAAATGTTGGGAGATTGTGAGGTTATAAATCTCTGTTATGTAAAAGTTCATAACTAAATAGAATCATTATAGGTTTAGTCATGAGATTTCTCACGTCTAAGGATAGATGATTTGAAATGAAAACTTAATAGATTTTACGATTATATTTGCTAACCATTAGTTAGCTTTCTTGTTTTTACAAATTGCACACAAACTAATCAACCGCGCTATACACATTTTCAGTTACTATTACAAACTCAATTTGTTGCATTTACAAGTTCAATCATATTATCATTTTACAAAGTTAATATAATATTTGTGGATACGATAATTTTACATGTCATGTTGTGGTTTTTGTTGACATAAATATTGTGAATCTATTTTCATTTTAACAAGTGAAAGTCGGGTTAGATCACGTGGCTAAGTTTGGTCAACTTAGTTATGGGTAGTGTTTTGAATCTAAATTGGATTTTAAGGTTTTGATAAATATAAATATAATTATCTAAAATATCGTTAGTAAAAAAGAAAGAGAAAATGAATGGAAATCATAGTGAGAGAAACATAGAGAGACAAAGATAAAAAAATTTAAGATTTGTTTATTCTTAAAATTTAAAAGACTTTTATAGATATCTAAGAGGATCTTAAAAATACTTCTAAATACATTAAATATGTGTGAGGTTCATATATTTAAAGTCAGAGAAATCAAGAAAAACATAAATAAAATATAAGATTTATAACTATGAAAAGAAAAGAAACAATAAACTATGAAAAGTTTAGCCTCAATATATATAATATATCATCTTATAACTAAGCATAACAACTACAAAATCATGTTAATTAAGTAACATCAACAACTTTATACCAATAAAGTCATCTTATTCATCTCATAGATACTAATGTCACTATATATTAATCCGTGTCTCATCTTCAAATCCATATAGCACCAGCCTCCTTCAACATTGGCACTAACTCATTCCTCACATGAAGACTCATAATTTTCTTAGAACCGCCTCTGAACTGTTGTCCTATGAAAACAGCAGGCACACTTGGTTTGCACCCCATTTGAAGCAACTCACTCTCAATCTGCGACCCGTTTGTGATCTTATCAAGCTCATAAACAATAGGGTTTGCTCCAAAGCTACGTATCAGTGATGTTATAGAGTGGCTCAAACAACAAGTACTCTTGCTGAATATCACCACTGGCTTTTCACCTACCAAGCTTGTGACAGTGTCCATAATTTGTGTGTGGAAATTCTGTTTCTTTGATGTGTTATTTATAAGGCTATGATGGTGGTGTGTGTCACAATAGAAGAAGAATAAGATTCAGAGGATTCTGGATAATTCTCTACTGTTTTTGTCCTTGACAACAACTTGGCTACATGTAAATTAACTTCAATCTAAAAATATCGTAACTTTTTTCAAGAATAAGATTCATGATTATTGGTATATCTTTTTTCTTCTTTGCCATATCTATATATGTTTTTGCAGCATCGTAATAGGATGATGTAAACAGTGTTGAGTCCACTTGTGAGTTGTCTCACACATGCAAGATTTAGATAACAGTGTAATCTTTCTAACATGTACATATTGTTTAGGATTTTGTCCTAAACCAAGAATAGAAAGTGGTATGTTGGGTATGGCCGTATGGGTGTGGGATTGAACGGTTCATAGTTTAGATTTGTGTTTTGGATTTGATTTACGATCTTAATCGAGCAAAATCAAGATTCTTGTTAAAGATTGTGTTGCACCCATTCAGATTTTTTTCCTTTTATTTAATTTATATATTATAGAGCTTTTTTAAAGGTTGAGACTCCAGCGTCTTCTAAGGTTCAAATTTAAGAAAAAAAATGTCAATTTTAAATAATTATTTTTATTTTAGACTAGAATTTGAAATTGGTATAATTCGAATGGAATGAGTTATGATGCACTGGAGTCAGTTTTTGGTACAACGGAGCGCAGGTGAATCTATAAGATTAACACTTCAACGTCTAAATCAATGAATTAATGAGAAAGTAGTATAAGTGTATGAGAGAGAGAGAGAGAGAGAGAGAGAGAGAGAGAGAGAAAGAGAGAGAGAGAGAGAGAGAGAGAGAGAGAGAGAGAGTGTTTGAAATGACGCATGTTAAACTTTATATAGTGCGGGCGGTTAAAACCATCCCAATGAGATGCGATGTCCAACATTGATTGTCGTTAGATCATATATAACGCTAGGGAATACATTGGAGGTTGGAATCAGGTGTTCTCCGCTAGGGTGACGTTTCACATGTTTTGCATGTCTTTTGTGGGATGCATGTTATTGGGCCTTCCATCGTGGGTCTGGAAAACTGCCTAAAATAGTTTCCCCCTAACCCTTGTTCTTACGCGTAGAGCAGTGGCTTGTTATGCACGCCTTCGATCAATATTTTGGTGAAAGAAAATGAAAGAGCCTTGATGGGACATCAATAACATTAGGAATAGGCACATTAAATATCCCTTCATGATTAGATATGTTTTGAAATGGAGTTTTGACATGTAGCCCTACGTCTGCTAGCATTGATGTCTTCATGTACTAGGGTATTCAAGTATTCTAACTAGTCTGGGGCAAGATGTGGATTGTCGATGGTTCACGCTTCCCAACATGTTTCGATGTGGATCGTATGATCATCTTTTATACATGATATATAAAGATTTTTGAGGTTACTATCTCCTTTTTCGTCATTCATGAGTCTCTAGAACTCTTCTATTATGTTTGCAATTTCTTTCATCTTCGTCAATACCCTCTGGTTCGCCATCATTCTAATACATATGTGCCTCTTATTCTACTAGAGCATACGATAAGTGAGTTAGTAAGTTCATATTCTTGAAGGTAACACTTAAAAATCTTTCTTTGCTTTTATATTTATATATGTTACTAGGGCTTTTAGAGAAACAAGTTATGTAAGGTTTTAAATGAGAAAATTGTCATTAATGGTGGAACGTTGGGTAGTGATATCTACTCTTAAAAAAGATTTAGAGCTTTAGTCCTTCATTTTTTTTTACAAAATCCCCCGCATATGTGAATTTCAACAAGGATTCGATGTTTAATTTAACATTGATCATGTGCTTCCACTGATGGTTGTGTCTTTTTATACGTAGGGAGCCCTACTTAATATGGAGAGTTTTTTCCCCGAATCCCATAATGCCCCTTGAGACAAAACCAAGATTCTTGTAAAAGATTATGTTGCTCCCAATTGGATTTAGTCATATTTCCACAAATCTCCACCTTGACTCAAAAATGATGATGATTAATTTAACCACAAAACCACCCTGCTGATCTCTACAAACATGAATCCATCTTCAACAAAATTTATAAAGACCAAGCAATGGTTAAACCTTGATTTATATAATAACTTAGCGAATATCTTCATCGGATTCTTTTCCGTAGGAACCTTCTTAAATACAAACTTCTTTTACTTTATCAAGTCTCTTATAAAGTGAAAATGAATATTGATGTGCATTGTCCTCTCATGATACACTTGATGATTATCAAATGGAATGACCTTTTGAACATCATAATGTATATTCATACATTCTTGACTGATCCCTAACTCCAAAGTTATGCCTCTAAACCATATGGTTTCTTAATCCGCTACGAGTAAGGAAACATATTTCACTTAAGTAGTAGATAAATCGACTACACAGTTTTATTTTTTCCAACTTATAGTCATTCTAAACGACGTAATCACAAAATCTGATAAGGATTATCTAGTCTCCCCTTTACCTCTATAGTCTCCATTCATAAAACCCTTCAAAGTATCTTCAACTCAAGGTTCCTTTCTATACTTCGAACCACCTATTGTGGTGAAAATCGGATACCAAGCTATTAATTAACTTGAATCACAAATCATGAAGTTCAACACCGAAATTTGATTTATCCAAAGAAAAGTATAAAGATCGAAGAAAAACCCAAAGTATGCTATGTAACAACACAGCTAGAGATCTAAGGTTCGAGGGTTAGTTATACCTATGGAAGGTGTTAGTATCCTAAGTATTTGTAGTACTCTACAGGAACCTCTTGTTAGTATTTGTGTTATGCTAAAGTTTTCTTGCTAAGGGAAAGGTGCTAAGGTAAATACCTAGGGTATATACACTAAGTATGCTCACCAAGACGTCGTATCTCATGCCTACCTATCCTAACTAGGATGGAATCAGAGCATTCATAGTTCACCTCACTAAGGGTGAAGAACACTTGACTATGATCAAGGTTCCAAGGGGAGTAAGTATTCATAACCATGATACTTACATAGAGTTAACAAAATCTCTAAGTCTAAGTTGAAAGACTAACTAAAGGTTAGCTCCTAACAAGGTAGGTGCTAAGGTCTTGACTTGAAAAAGTCAAAAGGGGTTGTAGGTTCTTACTCAAGTCTAAGTTAAGAGGCCTAATGACTCTAACAAGGGTAAGAGAAAGGGTAAGACTGAGCTATCTATGACATTGAGTCAATAGAGAGACTTTCCTTTGGATTTGGAAAAATAAAAGGTAACCTAAGGGTGAAAGCTAACAAGCTAACATCACTTGGGGGAAACAACTTAACAAAGTTTAGAGAAAGCATGATGGAAACAAGTGTGATATTCAAGCATGATGTTAATAACATTCAAACATGATGTTAATTGTAACATGAAAAAACATATGGTAACAACCAAAGCATGAGAATGAATGTAACAACATCCAAGGCAAAGACTTGACAAAGTCAAGAAGAGCAAGGTAACAACCAATCATACTCAAAGTTCAAAGAAGTTTCAAACTCACATGGTGACAACAAAGATGTTACAACATCTAATCATTCATGAAATATAGTTCTAACAAGACTAAAACATCATGTGAACCAAATTGAGATATTGATTGAACAATTGAACATTGTACAAGTTTGGATATGTTAAGACAAGTAGGTAACAACCCAAACATGTATGCTAGGGTTCAACATGGTCATGAACAAAGATGGAAACATCACAATGGTTTAAACATACAAACATGTATTTCAAAAGCATCTAAGACAAAAGTCAAGGATTTATGAACACCTAAACATGGTAAGATCAACACAAATGCACATCAAAGTCATGTAAACATTGAAGGAAAGTCACATGTTAGATGCAAAATGACCAAGCAAAAGTTCATGGCATGGTTGGAAGTTCAACATACATTTACATATAAACATACACTTAAAAAGACATTAAATCAAGTGGCAACAAGTATGCACAATTCTACAACACTACACAAGATTTAGATAAGCTGCAAATGGTTTAAACATGTCCATATGTGCAAAGAAAATCAAAGGAATCAACCAAAGAATCAAAATGGTCCTTAAGAAAACTCTAAAAAGTCACACACTTTAAACATGCATATGTACCATAAAAATAAATATCTTTAGAACACATTTTATATCACAATAAAATAGACATCAACATGAACATGTAGCAAAAATAATGAATAAAAAAGCCTAAAAAATGAAGATGTTACGAGGTTTCAAAGTTGTGAAGAAACTTGAGAAAATAAGTCATAAAATATATAGGGACATGGCCCTCATGGGACTTGAACACGCATCTTAGGGGTCAGGTTAAAAATTTTAACCAACTAAGCCAAGTGAATGGCTTGTACTAAGGGCACGCGTGTAAATATATATTTTAAGTTTGTTTCGGAATGATTAAAAATAAAACAAACAAAAGGGTCTGGGGCAAGAGGGATTCGAACCCCAGACTCTTTGCTCTCTAACACACATAAACCCTCCTTCTGGATCAGCGGTGCTACGCTCTCATCCATTAACTATAATAACTCTAACAATATATATTTTAAAAGTACACCAAAATGTACAAGTCAGCGCCACCTTGTTTCCACATCAACGCCAACTCATCTCTTTCTTCTTCCTTCACTCATTCTTTCTTTCTCTCTCCCCGAACCCTAACTTAAGTATTTCTTCAATTTTATGTCATCAATATCTCACTCTAAACTCCATATTTTTTTAACAAAATAAAACTCTAAATTGCTTAGAGTTTCCAAGGATTAACAAGGTACCAAATTTTTGCCCTAAATCTAACCATACAGAGCACACAAATTCCAAAACCAGTGCAACATACATGAGTTTCATAATTTCAAAGCAACACATACACACATGATATTTTATGCAAATAGTGAGCCATTTACACTAAATACAACCACTTTTTTATGATAGCTTCAAGAAACAAATATGAACAAGTATGATTATAAGTTTCAAGAGTTCAAGGTG